TCTCTCTCTCTCTCTCTCTCTCTCTCTCTCTCTCTCTCTCTCTCTCTCTCTCTCTCTCTCTCATAGGTTTCTATGTCATTCTAGTAACATTCTATGTGCAGCACTTATGTAATATCATACAATACCTTATTTTGCAGACATTTCTGTCTGTGCTTTTTCTCCCTAAATGTAACGTATGCTAAGAGATAGGACTGTGTCTTAAACAGTTTATGTCTCCTATGTTACTTAGCATGGTGCTGGCACAGAGGAGGTGCGATTAATGAGAAGTGAATAAGCAAGTAATGCGTTTCTTGAGCCACGTAATTGTACTGAATATGGCACAGCCTGGAGTCAAACAGAGTTGAGAATTAATGAAGGGTGGAAGGGAAAGCAGATCCTTTTTTCTACAGCTGTAATTTCCATGGAGTCAAGAGGAGAATCAGACCTGGGCCTCAAAAGCAAGAGCACCTATTCTCAAAGAGTTTGTTCCTAAGTTAGACCACTTGTGCCCCCGCTACCTAAATACCAAAACACTTTAAAGAATTATTAGAAATGTGATGTTCCATTACTCTAAATACCTGCTTTAATGGAGCTGTAATTTGCAAAATGTTTTATCCACTGCAATGGCTTTCTCATGAACTGTTTCTCAACAATCCAAAGTTTCAGTTAGAAAATGGCTCCAAGGCACTCCCAGAGAGGTGAGCGAGTAGCTGGCTTGCCCTTCTCCCTGTAGCCTTAGCTCCCACTAACAAATGTCTGTCACTCCCACCTCTGCAACCCCCCAGGTGGGAGGCACTCCACGGTTAAGTGGCTGAGCCACAGGGATGGGCAGAGCCTGGCAACTAAGGAAGGGGCAGCAGTCATATTTGTAGCTGCTTTCAAACTTTCCATGGGAAGAAAACACAAAGAGTTTAGTTGTATTCACGTCATGGTCTTATCACAAAAGCGTAGGGGCTGACTTGATAACTAAACACATTCAGTTGTTTCCTGAGATCATTGAGAAGCTAAATCCTGCCTAGAAGGGGAGAATGAAGGACAGTGTGACCAGGACTCTCAAGTCCTTTTAGAAATCCAGATCAGCACAAGCCAGGAGGAGGGCAGCAGAAGTGAGTGGCAGTTGTGCAGGGCCAGCTTTCTGGGGAAGGAAGGAGACAAGATAAACAGCAGCCCAGCTGCTGGAGCTCTCCAGAAGCACGGAGAAGGCAACATGGCTGATGCTGGGGAATCCCACCAAAGCATACGGCAGGTTCCAGGGCCTTGATCGCCAGCAAATGCATCGATGTTGGTCTCTATCTTTCCCCTCCCTCCTGCTCCTTGTTCTCCCCTCTGGTCCCACTCAGAGCTGTTTCTTCTTGCCTTTTCTCCTTCTCTACTCCTTCTTATCTTGCAAGGAAAGATCCAAGCTGTATGTGGAGCAGGAGGAAGCTGAGGTCATTTAGGCTTCAGAATTAAATCCTCAAGAACGAACACCTCAAGCTAGAGGCACAAGTACGTACAAAATCCTCATGATGTGCCCAACACCATTTGCACTTGAAGTAAACCTTATTAAAAATGGAAAGTCTGCTCCTGTATCCCCTCAATTTACACATCATCTCTTTAAAGGAACGGTTCATACGTTTACCACAGGATTCAAAGGAGTTGGATAAGATCGGCCGCTAACCCATCACTCTATACTGAACACACAACACACAGTCCAGAACCCAGAGAACAGTGGGTTGCTCAAATGTAATAAGATAAATGAGTATCACAACATTATTCCCTGACTTCCAGTGGCAGTACCTATAAAAATGGATTTCAGTCTGGACTGTACCGGACAGTCTAATTACAGGAACTCCTAGAGAGCCCCTTCTTAGAATATTTTATGAAAATTCTGATTCCTGCCCTCAAGGAATTTACTCTCTAACTGAAGAGAAAAATACACATTCACACACGGATCCATTAGAGCAGGAGAAAGAGTAAACTTTGATTTGTGGGCTTCTAGGATCTTTTAAACAAAGGTGATATATATTGTGTTTTAAAGATGTTAAGTTAAGAGTCTGTTTCTGAAGTGTTTGTTGTTGTTGTTGTTGTTGTTTTGCTTGCTTTCAAGCCTTGCCGCCATTTTGGTTGAAGAGGTATCTTTGACTATGATCAAAATCAGTATTATCCTATGAAAAGTAAATCACGAAGCATCTCATATCTTTTCATGTCAGAATAAACAATTATCAGCTACTGTCCTGAAAGTTGATCCTACCGGGGCAAAAATAAAAACACAGAGACCAGGAAGTGGGGAGGGAAATATCTCTAGACAATAATTGCTACTGCCCCCATCTTTTGGGTGAGGAGCTAGGAGTCAGAGAGATCAGTTGATTCATTGTTAAGTTTGACCTCAAAACTTTCTGCTCTTACCATGAGATACTACGTGAGTTTATTTCCCACCATCCTGACAGAGCTGTCAAAATTCTTTCAGTTGGTCACCTATGACCAGAAGCAAGCAGAGGCCCAGTTTCGTAGCTCTAGAAACCAGCCCATGAAAATACATGGTTTTCAAAATTTCCTAAGCCCTAAGGACCAGCTGCTGGGTGATCCCTAAGAAGACCAGGAAAGAGGGAAATGCTCAGGCTATGGAGAGGATTGGTTTTGTCCCTCTGTGCAGCCCCCAGAGTTGGTTCAGGCTGTGGTCTCTCAGAAATTGAGGGATACTGCTCTGGCCACTCTCTGCCGATGAGATGCCTGCTCATGAAGGAAATTAGCATGGAGGGAGTGTTGGAGAAACCCCTCCATTGGCCCCAGCATCAGCTTGTGAAATGCGGCTCTGAAAGATGTGTCTAGAGCCACCACCTCAATATACTTTCACCCCCATAGCCACTTCCTGTTTCACCAGCGCTGCTAAGGCACATGATCGCAGCTGTTCCAACCCACTGAGCTTGTCTTCTACGAATTCAGATTTGCTGGAGCTGCAGGGCAACGCCCCCCACCCCATGAGGGTGAGAGAATCAGAAAGGCGGGTCTGCACAGGGCAGAAGTGTACTCGGTAGCACAAAGACACAGATCGTGAAGGACTCTCTTGGATTTAGCTACTTACCTGGTTCCCACGCTCTGGGAGAACAACTACACTGTCGTACAGGGAGGTGAAGTAGGTGTATCTGGCATCAGGGCTGTGCAGACGTCTCCCCCATGCCCAGGGCCATGCCTCTGTGGGACAGGGCCTCAGTTTAGGAGCCCTTTATTGCTTTCACCCTCTCCTGTTCACAGTACATCCCCATCGGCAAACATCTCAGCGAAGACTCAATTGTCAACTTGGAGGAAGAGGTGGGTGGAAGTCCTTAGGTAGTTAGGGCACACCTGGCTAAGAGCCCTTCCTCTTCCCCTTCATGGTTTCAGCAGGAAACCCTGTAGCTCTCCCGGATCCCACCCTCTCCCCACCATGCTTGGCTGTGGCCTCAAGTCACTTCCTTGATTGCAGGTCACCACCCTGTCTCTGTCGCGCCCATCTTTTCCCAAGACTCTCCTATTCAAAAGTGGGGACATACCAACTCCCCATTTCCCATCAAATAAATAAATAGTCAGCAACTCAAATATAGCTATTTGGGCAAAACTCAAGGGTAGCCATGCTGACCTGGGTTTTGAGAAGTCAGCAGACGTCTCAGAATGAGGGATATTTCCCAGCTGCCTTTGGGGTGCAGCAGGAAGAAATCCATAAGCAAGGCAAGGTCCTGCAGGACACACCTTCTATCAGTCACTCAAACCCAGGGACACAGAACTACATCCTGCTTGTCCACCTGGGAAATGGGGGAAGTTGGAAGGCCACCTGCTGCAGGTCTCCCAGTGGCAGAATGGGGGTTCACGAAGTCCAACTTGTTCTGACCACTTTCTGTGTCCCTCAGGCTTGGACACCAGGCAGGCGCAGGTCATCGTCCTGTCCTCGGGGACCAAGTGCATCAGCGGTGAGCACATCAGTGACCAGGGGCTGGCGGTCAACGACTGCCATGCGGAGATCGTGGCCAGGCGGGCATTTCTGCACTTCCTCTATGCACAGCTGGAGCTGCACCTGAGGTAAACGGGCCCATGCTGGCTGGACGTGCCTCCACCGGGGAGCAGCCAGGGAGCAGAAGGGGAGCACAGCCAGCCCAGACCCGCCACTCCCTTTACCCTGGCCAGTTTCCTACACAGGGTGAGCAGTTACACACCATGAAGCATTCATCTTTCTCCAGACCTAAGATGTCTTTCACGCACCACAAAGGCCAACAGTCTTGAAACATAAGGTGTCATCCTCATGACCTCATGGAAGAAATACCTGTTTGCCTGTGGGTGACAGACAAGCATACCTCCACACAGGTGCCCACACGCAGGACTACATGTGGGACACATCCCGTCACAGTTCGTTTCATTTGATTGTTTTCTATTAAAACATTTGAGACATTACTGCAGCACCTCATAAGTCAAATTTTCCATAATGAGGTTCAGATGCCTCTAGAGTCAAGGAAAATCACTAGCCATCACTGTCCCCTTTATGCTTTCAACCCAAATGGCAATGAGACAAAGAGAGGATCCAGCTCTAGGGTCAGCTACAATGTACAGAAGTTTTCCCCAAAAGAAGCAGTGACCCAGATCCGGCATAAACTGTGTCTCCTTAACTGTAAGTTGAAATGAAAGCATTTCTCTTCCCATCTCCAGCCCCTGGTTATTATACACAGAGTTAGCCCTACGAAGGAAGGAAGGAAGGCGGGGGAGAGTGGAGAAATGAGGAGTGGAGGGAGGAAAAGAAAGAGAAATAGAAATAGAAGGAACGAATGAATTCATTATCCCTTGGGAAGCGAGAACTACTGTTCTCTCTGAATCCCACAACTGTATTTATTGAACTGAAAATGTGTTCAGTCATAGAATAAGGTAATTTGGATCAATATACCTGCTCTCTACTCTGTGTAAACTTTCAGCCATGGAAAGGCACCACATCGAGGTTGACACTGATGCTAAATTTTGATAAAATTGTTTCCATATCAAACAGGACCCACAGCTCAACATTCCACAGAAGTCCTGCCTTCCTCCCTTGTCTGCCTTGTTTTGAGAATTCCTCAGTCAAGGAAACTTATTATGAGAGCTCAGGGTTTCTGTAAGACTGGCCAAGACCATCTCTCAAAGGCTCATAAATGAGCTACTATTCTATTTCCTGTCCCCTTGTCCTGAGGGCTTTGTCCCTCAGGTGAAAGGCTGTTTCCACTGGACAAGTCTCGGGCAAGCAGCTTTCACATAAGCAGTGTGACTGTAATACACGGCGAATATTTAAATTTTTAATGTATTACAGTAGAAGACCCATCGCCATTAATCCCCCTGTGAAACACTCCTTCTTGATTCTAACATACTTATCCCATTGTCCTTGTCACTTTCTGAAGCAGTTCTGGAAACTCTCATTTGTAAGTGTCTTTATGAGGTGTGGTTAAAAAAAAATATATATATATATATAGTGCATGCTGCTGTTGAGTGTCATCCAGCAGAAAGGCAGGCTTATAAAACATTGTGGTGTGTCCTTGTTCATCTTTTTCACCAAATCTGGCACCAGATGACTTCCAACTCTTCCCCAAAGTCCAAATGACCATGAAAAGTATTTTTAATCAATTCAGGATTCAAGGCAGCTATGACAATGCAACTTACAGACACTCATGAAAGAAGACTTCCAGAACTACATCCGAAAGTGGCAGGAAAAATGGAATAAATATGTTTGAAGTGAGAAAGAGTATTTTGAAGGAGATGAATGGCAAAGTGTCTTTTATTGTAGCATTTTGTAATTAAACATTTACTGTATTTTCAACCATAGTTCCTATAACATAATGGCGTTCTGTGCCTTTCAATTCTTCTGGTTGAGTCCGTCTTCCCACACCCGCCTTCCCAAATGTGCCCCATTCTCTATAGCTAGTCCTCAGGAAATGTGCCCAAAGTAGCTAATAACAGGCTTTTGGTTTTCTGGTACCAGGGATCAAACACAGGACCTTGTACTTGCAAGGCAGGCGACAGCACCACTGAGCTAAATTCCAAGCCCTAATAACAGGTCTTGAGAGACCTATTTCTGGGCTCCATCTCCAAGCACATCTTGAGCAGGGTGTTCTGAACTGAAGAGGCCCATGAGGTCCTAAAATATGAGCTCCAGTGCTGGAATTTCTAGCAACTCACGACAGCTTGCTCTGGCAATGAGAAAGAACCAGACTGCCACCTGGGCTGGCATCTCTTTCTCAGACACATTAAACAGGAACAGACATGCGGGTAGAATGAGCACATGACAACTCCGATGCACGCCTAGGCAGAGCTGCGTAGTCACAGTGGTTTGATTGCTGTATCTTCCCCGAACGTCCCTTCCCTGCCTTTTCTAGTTGCCCCTTACAGCAGTGTTCCTCAAACCCACTAATAATGGGATTTCAGGATGTTTTTAGTGTCTCATTTGTGCCCATTAGATATGCAGAAGCCACACAAAGAAAGAAAAGCCCAAACAGATGCCAAACAGACTCAAATAAAAGCAATAACTTATGCACTCAATTTTTATCTGAGCCTCTGAGCAATACACAGCAGCCTGAGATACTGGACATTCGTCTGTGAGGCGGCTGGAGCTGGAAATCTCTCCAAATGGGAGAAGAAAGATTTCTCCTATACCCAACTGCCCAATTGGAAATGACTCTGAGTACCCCTACCTCCTGCTTGTGTCACAGAGGCAAATGAACCAGCATTTACCGGGCGCTGGCTGCGTGCTTGGTTCAGTGCTGCCAGCTTGAGAGGCTGAGGGTGTTCGAAGACGATTGTACTGACCCCTGACCTGCACAGGGGCGCCAGCTATCGACCACAGTAGCAGAACAGCCAGTTAGCTCCTGGGACCTGCTGGGAGGTTCTGCAGTCTTCCTGGGGTTTCCTTGCACAGATGAAGGGGTGGGTGGTGGCCAAGGTGCAAAGGCTCAGCAGCAGGAAGGCTAGCAATTGTAGAAAATGTCTACTGTGCTGCCTGTGAGGTCTCAGGGCCCAGCAACACAGAATCCATCAACAGCGGAGTAGAACGAGTGCAAACAGCAAAGGTGCAGCAAGCAGACCGCTGGAAACCAGCGAGCAAACTCTGAGAGAAGACTTGAGGCCACAAATGCCCACCGTGTTTCCCCTCTTCAACCAAGGCAGGGGCCTGAAGTCTGAGTTTAGAGGAGTCAGGGGGGTTTTGGGAGGAGCAAAAGGAACAGATCCCTGCAAGCTTTGCCGGAGACTTGTTTTCTTCCTGATCCACCCTAGATTAGGGCTGGGTGCAGAAGCAAAGCAGATTCCTCAGTGCTTGCTGCTCCCACCTGCCCATGAATGCAGCCAAGCCCAGCCCTGCACGTCCCCATGCACCTACCCACCTGCCCTTTTTTGCTTGTCAGTTTTTGTTTTTGTTTTCTGGGTTTTTGTTTCTTGTTTCTTTGTTTTGAGGCAGGGTCTTGTTAAATCCCTGGATTACTCAAACTGAGCTCAAAATTGCACTCCTCCTGCCTCAGCCTCCCAGAGCTGGGGTCACATGCATAGGCTGCCATACCTGGCTCCAGCCACCCTTTTAAGATCCCTTTTCTTTTGTTGACACACACATGCACGTGTTGCTGGCCAACACTATGTCAAGCCAATAGTCCCCAGAAAGATTCTGCCCCATTCAGTGTTTGCGAATCCACAGGATTACAGTTTTGTAAATTGTAGCTACTGGCCTACAAAAGATAAGTTTGAAATGTAAATGTGAAGAGAGGATGAGCAGGGCAGGATTTCCGCTGCTTGTGCTGGCTTTCACGTGGCTTTCATTGCAGCCCAGTGCAGAAGTGTTCATGAAGGGACAAATCCAGAACAGAGGGTAAAGAAGGGAAAACCCGGGCAATAATTCTACAAAACGGGATGGATACATTCACCTGGTTGAAATCCTTCTGGCTGAGTTTCTAATAAATGACCCAGATCCTCTTTGTGTTCCTAGCAAGCGACAAGAGGACTCGGAGCGATCAATATTTGTGCGTTTAAAGGAGGGAGGCTACAGACTTCGAGAAAACGTCCTCTTCCATCTCTATGTGAGCACATCGCCCTGTGGAGATGCAAGACTCAACTCCCCTTACGAGATCACCACAGACCGTAAGAGACAGCACCTTTGCCTTTTGTAAACAGTAAACAGCCCAGGCTGGCCTCTGTCTATCTAGACCCTGTTCTAGGCTACCTTGGCCCAGGGGCCCTGTGCGCGGGTGGCTGTGGCTCTAAGATGCTAGAAGTAGATTGCAATTAACTAGATAATCTTAGCTCCAAAATCTTAGTCTGCCGTGCCTGGATCATTGGTAGAAAAGTAATTTGAGGTCTCAAATTAGCTATCTAATTGCTAGAGGCCTCTGCTTCATTTTAATAGGTCAGACAGTCCTGCCATCCCAGCCTGGAAAATGCAATGAACATGGCAAATGAGAATTACATAGGGTGCAAGCAAATTCAAAGTAGCTGTGTTTGCCTTCATTTGCAACTTTTGGGGAAAATAAAATAGCTTTTGTAACAAAGCCAGCTTCAAGAGATGCCCAGCAGAAGTGGTGCTCGAGTTAACAACACATTTCCTTTGCTGGAGTCCAAGAGAAGGAAAGAATCTTGGTGCCCTCTGCCCCTCCCAGTCAGGTCCATCAGCAGAGTAACCACATTGCTCTCCAGGGCCGGAGGCCAGGAGGACCTCCACTCTGATGCCAGGGATGGCAGTGCCTCTACAATAAACAATAAAGTTTCAAAGGCATGAGTTCAATCCTCCTCTCCTTAAATGTTGTGATGGGAGTCTATTACTGGTGCTGTTTCCATACATTTTGCACTTATGAGTCTGCATGCATATATTTCTATGTCACACACACATATACTCATTCACTCACACTCTCTGAAACTCTTTCCAGAAGGAGGCCCAGGAAAATACTCCCATGAAGGCGATGAGCATAAATATAGGTACAGTGGCACCTCGGTTCACAAACTTAATTCTTTCCATGATTCTGGTGGCAACCTGAACTGGATGAGAACAGAATCACATTTCCCCATAAGGTCAACAGTGAGCCAAACCACTGCATTTGATTTGGCTCTCGTCCAATTCAGGTTGTCACCAGAATCATAGAAAGAATTAAGTTCATGAACTGAAGTACCACTTATATATGTATTTCTACCACCTAGACATGGTCACAGTCAACATTGTGTGGTTTTTGTTTCAGCTAAATATATAGATAGAATATTTTACCCAAAAATAAAATTAAAATAAGCATATGTATTTGATGAAGGCTCTGGTTCCAATAAAGGTAGTGGAACATCCAAAAGTTCATTCTGTGCTCAGGAGATCTCCAGTAGAAGAACAATGGACAATACAGTTAGTAAAGGGTTGGTCTGGCCTCTGACTCTCCTGATATGGAAGGCTATATTTGCACCCTAGTTGCCAAAGTCAGAAAAAATGAGTAGCTATTGAATATCTACTGTGTTCCAGGCTTGTCATGAGTGCTTCCATCAAAAACAAAGAAGATAAAGGAAGAGGATAATAGTGTTTTTAACCTATTTCTCTAATCCTTACATTGGTTGCTGAATCAGTGAAATTCCTTCTCCTTTCTCACAGACTGTCCTGCAACCCCAGTCCTTTCACATCAGAGATTGGTCGGATGAGGTTCCCTAGAAAGGAAGCCTTTTCACATCCTTTGAAAAGCAAGTTGGAAAATTAAGTGAAAGTGAGAATCAGAAAAGGGATCCCATTCACTAAACTGTCCCAAGGAAGGCAAGAGGGCCAGGGTGGCCTGGGCAGTGTGACAAATGCACAGAGCCGTCCTTGTGCAGGGCCTGGTGAGACCACATAGGGTATGAGAGAGACAGAAAAAAAATGCAGTGCTGATTTGTTTTCATTGAAAACACCCATCAGCATGCATCTATATGACACACTCTTTCCCTACACAGTCATGAAATCTAGTCTATTTCCCAACAGACAGCTACTAGGAATCAGCTCTCCATCTTCTCTTGAAAGGTTTGGCATCATGAAGACCCAGCCTAGGGGCCGTCAGACTGTGGCAGGAAAAATCTGGTGAGACACTGAGGACTAGACCTACTTCATCCAGCTTCCTCCTTGGCCCATGTGCCCCCAGTGGGAGTCAGGAGAGGGCTGAGTGAGGACAGCAAGAAGCTGGGCCATGGCTTAGACTTCCTGGTCTCCCCCGGGGATAGTTTTGGTCCATCGAGCTTCCCTTGTCTCTGTACATCAAGCACCAACTGCGGCCTCACCAGCCCTCAGATCTGACTGGCAATATTGGTGCCAGAAAAACAAACAGATACATTTTCACAGGCACCTTGGGGTTCACTTCCAGGCACAGATGTCTTTTTTTATTTCATGGCACATTTAAGAAGAGGCAGGTGCTGCTAGGAGAAAAAAATAAAGCATTTTCCTCCCATTTTGCTATGCCAGGTGAAAAAGGAGATGCTATTGCCTGAGTTATGTCTCTGAATCAGGGCTGGTGTCTCCTCAACTCTTCCCACATGGGAAGTGTGGAACAGGCAGCCACTCGGTGAGCTTATAAAGTGGACTCATCAGCCAAAAGCTGTGCTTCGTTTAGCCCTGTTCACTCAGTGAGGGCAAGATAACTCAGATGCCTGCTGTCTCTGCTTGGAAGGAGCCTTCAGAGAGACTGCTCAGCATCCCTCATACCTCCTGAGGGAGACAGAAACTCAGGTATAAATTTTGTAATCCCCACCTTAAAGAAATCTACTGAGCTCCAGTTTGCAAAAAGAGACAAAGCAGCCCTCTGTGCAGTGTTTTTCATTGCTACTGTTTAAGGAGGGCTGGGCCAGCAATTAGCTCAGTGGTTCCACCTCCTGCCTCACAAGCACAAGGCCCAGAGTTTGATCCCCATACAAAAAAAAAAAAAAAAGGAATGGTTCTTAAGAAGGGCTGGACTGCTAGATAAGAGATTGAGAGCAACAGGGCCTATGCTCTGAGGGGCTCCTGCCAGGGTCAGCTGTGGTGACAGGCCCCATGCCGGAAGGCTTACTAGAAAAACAAATGCCAGTTAGGGCTATACCTGGGGTCAGCAGACAGCACCAACTATCCCCCAAAATGTTAACCCTATAAAAGCCCCAGCCTCACCCTACCTCCAGACCAAAGGTCCATGTCACTAAATGAAGACCTAGGGACTGTGTTTCCTGGACCAGCTGTCCTCCAATATGCTCACAAACACAGAGACTGCCCGGCACAGACATGCTCGGTGCATTGCATTGAAATCTTTATTGAGGATCTAAGAAGTTCATCCTGAAGTAAGGGAAACTCTGAACTGGTGTTCTCCGCCTGCCTGGGATTCTCTGGCTCTCCAGCATTGTGCCTGGCTATGACTTGGTCACTGATTGCTGTAGTTTTTTGTTGGTTTTTTTTTTTTTCTTACCCTCAGTTTATACAAAGCTTTAATGAACTCCACATGGGGCCTACACCATACTTAGCTCCATCAACCTGCCACTGTGATAGAATTATCTTTTTTCTCTCTCTGTCTCTCCATCTCTCTGTCTCTGTCTCTCTCTCCTCCAACCCTTCTTCCTCCCTCTTCTTCTCTTTCCCCCCTCGTTCTGCCTTGTGCACGTACAAACATACACATGTACAAAACACACATGCACAAACACGTCTACATAAGCACATGTGCAGACATTAGTGTATAGCCACACAAACGCCCAACAAGCAATTCCTCAGCATCTACGAACTCAACTCCAACATGACCAAGCCTAAGTTTAGAAACTTGAACCAGTGGCCTAGATTGTACCTCTTCCTTTCAAAGAATGAAGGAGAAGGGAATGGAGGAAAATAAGAATATTTTCTACAAAGTCTCAGTCATTCAAATAACAAATAATCAGGAGGCCAAGAAAGACCAGAGAGTCTGACTTGAAATGTCTAGGGACATATTTCCAACTCCCCACCAGATGCACTGCTTCCCACCAGGGGCTTCTCTGGCCAAGGAGCTGTCCTCCCAGCTCAGAAGTATTCATGAGTTCCATGAGCCCTGTGGACCGAAGTCAGCTAGGATCCCTGAGGCCCAGATTCTAAGTACTAGGAGACGACACAGGACTCTGATGTGGTCATCAGGCCTGATTTCCCTGGGATGCCTGTTGCTGGGAAAAGTCCACATTCTGAGTTTTATTATTTTCTACCAAAACATTCGTCCAGATCGTAAACATCTCCATTCTTGGAGGCTTTGAGTATGGTATCAATGCCAATTGGCCTATGATATTTCAGGAGCTATATGTTGCCTGTGAGTTTAGGAATTAAATTTCACTGTTTCCATACCTGGTTTATCTATCAGGGCCACCTGAGAAGTTTTTTTAAATCATATTCCTACCATATGCTATTTGTCTGAGATGTTAATCCATCAGGGGTGGGAAGAAGTTCACAAACCTGCAGTTTTCTGAACATCAGTCATGTTTTAAGTCACTAGATTTGAAGTCCCTTAAATATCTCCTGTCCAGACTGGGCATTTATTTCTTGCTGGCTTAGTGGAGGGTCTTTGAAGAGAAGGTGATCAGCAGAATATGTGCAAAGGACAGACGGAGCTCTGAGGTGGGGTCCTCTGACCCACAGCACAGTGGACAGCTGAGCAGGCTTTTGCTGGGCCATCACATGCACTGTGAAGGAAAGGTTGCTGAGTGACATCCTTTGCAGACTGAGGCCTCTGGTCTTACACAACCCCGAGCTACTCTGACCATCTCAGCTGACTCAAAAATGCTAAACCATATGACTTTCTCCATGGGCCAAGGTTAGTCCAGGGGCAAAAAGGCTTAAAAGACATTTCTTCACTCCATCAGGAGAGGACACTGTTTCTGGGTCAGAGTCGGGATTTTGACAACTGTTGTTAAGAAGCTTAACAGCGCCACTACTACCAAGGAGGGAAGGCTCCCTCCAGACCCACAAGGACTGAACCATTTCCTTAGTGGTTCTGGAGGACAGAGCTGGAACCCAGGCTGTTACCCTACATGGAAGAGATGACCCAGAAGACTGTGAAGGATGTCACTGTAAGAAAAGACCACGAGGTGCTTCGCCAACAAACTTGTTGCACCTTCTTTCTTATGATGGCTTTTAAATTAACCTTGGGAAACTCAGCTCTTATTTCCATTCTCCAAGAATTTACTAGATTAAATTCTCCAATCAATTTTCCACATGCCGTGCCATGACAAATAGCAAAATTATGTTATATATTTATCTATAAATTTATGCTAAGTGCCTAATACATTCATTCTAATCCAGTTCCATACTTCACATAAATGGTCAGTTTAGGAGGCTCAACCAAAATCCCATGAGGCCAGAGAATCTAAAATACATTCCCTAAATTCTTATCTTCAGAGTTGTCTTCTGAGTTAAAACATGCAATATATGATCATTTTCATGAACTGTAGATGGCCTCATAATTCAACATTACCACTATCAACATCAAATGAGGCAAAGATCGCCTACATGACTACGTGATAACTATTGTCCATCCTATCACTGTAATAAATAGTGGGTTACTTCAGAGGTATGTCTTCTGGAACGCAACTTTGTGTGTGTGTGTGTGTGTGTGTGTGTGTGTGTGTGTGTGTGTGTGTGTG